CACCATTCCCCATTTTTACTTGAGGACTGGAGGAAGCATCCATTTTTACAAAAATGCTTTCATCTCCTGTCATGTGATTGCTACATCCGCTATCGAGAAACCATACATCCTTGGTTTGATCTGATGCCTTGTGACAAGCATAGAACATGTGCCCTTCACTTTCTTGCTCCTCAAAAAAATTAGCTTGTTGAGTGCTCTTGACTAGGCAATCTTTCTTGACATGCCCAAATTTGTTGCAATTGAAACATTTTGGCTTTTCTCGAAACCAACAATCTTTATCAACATGATTGCTTCGGTTGCAAATTCCACACTTTTGTTGAGTGGACTTTTCATTTTCCTTTCTTTGAAAATTAGACCTTCCTCTTCCTCTTGCATTTCTTACTCTTCCAGTTGCATTTCTTCCTCCTCCTCTTCCTTGGAAATTAGAGGTACTAACATTGAGCTTGGATTGAAAGGCACTTTCAATTGACTTTTCAGATTGCCTACTCAACCTTTGCTCAAATGCTTTAATTGAACCCATCAATTCTTCAATACTCAAATCAGCAAGATCTTTAGTTTCTTCAATGACAGCAACAATGGGATTGTATTTCTCCGGCAAACTTATCAAAATTTTCTCAACAACTCTTTGATTAGTAATATTATCCCCATAAATTTTCATTTGGTTTACAAGTTCCATAACCTTAGAAAAATAATCCAGTGTGTCATGGAGGGCTCAAACAGGGTTGAGCCCTTAATGAAAAGTGAAGATGAGCTCAAAATAGGGCCACTTTCAGTTAGGGCCGGAGCTTGAAACAAAAAGCATGAGGGGCTTACAAATGGATCTAGAAAAAGGGTCAAAAGAGGGGAAGTGTCACTTACCCTTGAAGACCAAAGCTTTTGTTGCTTCTTGGATCAATTTGCAGCTCCTTTAGCCTTTGAGAAGCCTTCCTTGTTGCTGGAAATGAAGTGGTGATGGTAGAGCTTGGTGGTGATGAAGAAAACAAGGTGTAGGACTTAAGGTTTTTTAGGAAAATGAGAAGAAAAAAACCCACAACTCCTTGGGGTTATCCTGCACTTGGAAGAAGAAGTAGAAAAAGGAATAAATATAGTGATAATTTGATTCTTCGTCGCCGTAGTAAATAGAAGAGAAAATCGAATTTCTCTCTTCGTCTCTCTCAATATCTCTCTCAATTCGAAAATCCAGGATTTGAATTGATGTCCTTTCATTGATTCCTCCTAAATTGCATTGATTTATCCTAAAGATTTCATTTCAATTGGAATTTGGTTATTCACCATGTACGAGGATCCCCGCTAAGCATCCATGGCTGAATGGTTAAAGCGCCCAATTGGTAAGTGCTACAAGATCTCGTGCATTGGAACCCATGGTTATGGACCCGAATCCATTAGTATGGAACATTTTCTTTTCCAAGTGAAATCCTCTGGTATATGAAAGAGTGAAAAAGTGCTTTCGTTGTTGTGGAATAAGAAGTCTTCGTATCTTAATGCACGTATTTAATTTATTCGGTTAGTAGATGGTTGGATAAATGAAAAAAAAAAAGAAAAAAAAAGAAAAAGAAAGAAAGACTGGCTAATCACAGGCCAGAGGGGGTCGTGGAGGTGACCCCTGTGGGGGTTCGGATCATTTTTCTTTTATTTAATGCCCAAACAACAGAATCAGACATTTCCTCCCGCAGGATATGAATGTTTAGTATGTGTTGGACCATCATTGGAGGGAAGAGGATTCGCACCAAATTAGCATGCCATTCCTTGCTTTCATGGTTAATTAAGTGAGAAACCTGGAATGAACTAAAAGCATGCCCAACCCCCTGACCCAGTAACTCATTTGTTAAAGTTGAAATTCATTGATCTTCAAAAGGATCAATTTGTTCCCCATTCCCCACTCTCCAAGACAACCTCTTTTTGAACAAATCCCTACCCCCCATAAAATTTTCTTGTAAGCAGTACTTAGCTCTAAGGACTTTGCTAAGTAGCAGATGCTGTTGGTCTAGAATGCACCAAGCTAATTTAGCCAAAAGAGCTTGGTTGAAACTACTTGGATCCCTTAAACCCAACCCACCCATTGCCTTAGGCAAACATAAGCTCGCTCAGGGTTTCCAATATAAACCTTTGCCATCCTCGCCTTTCCAAATAAACCGACCAATTATACTTCTCACTTGCTTTATGAAATAATCAGGGGCCTTTAACACTGGCAATAAAGACATCGGGATGGAAAGCAGTGAGTGTTTTGCAAGAACGCATCAACCCGCCAAGGAAAGAAGTCCACTTTTCCACCCTTGTAACTTTGCCTTAAATTTATGCATAATTTTGTTGAAAACCTGCCCCTTATGACCTTTAAAACCCATTGATGCTCCCTGTTAGGTTTTATTTCTTGGCATTCCCGTTTGACAAAACTCCTTTGAGTTGTAATTTTATTCGCATTTTTATTTCAGTGAGGCTATGAGTTGTTAGATGCGAATCCAACCCGAATCAAGCATTTCAGAGAAGTTTGTGATGATAAAGCTTTCAAGATTGCCACTTCGCTGATTATGACGGGGATCGAGCTGCCCGGTCAGCTCGCGGGGGTCCAGGGGGCAGCGCCCCTTGGCGGGTCCGGGGCAGCGCCGCGGCGGGGTCGAGGGGCAGCGCGCCCAAAGCAAAATGCAAAAATGCATTCCAAGTTGCCTGTCCGCTCGAGCGGACATACCCGCGCTCGAGCGGAGAATTCCTGGTTCCAGCAGTTTTGGTCGCCTGCAAAAGTACTGAGCTGTGTGATTTCGCGCTCGAGCGGGATTTCTGGCGCTCGAGCGGACCTCTGTGATATCTCGCGCATATTTTGCTGAAGCCCGCTCGAGTGGGCTGTTGGGCGCTCGAGCGGAGATCGCGGGACAGATTCTATAAATTCGCGTGTTGGATCAGATTTTAGGATAACTACTCCAGATCTTCTTTTTGTGTTTTAGGGTTCATATCTGGGGATATTTTGTGAGTTTTCTTTGATGTTTTATTGAGTATTCAACTCATGGTTTAAAAGAGAGTACATCAAAGGTTTTTGTTTGCTATACAAAAGAGAGAGTTGTTCTTCGGTGGATTCTGAAGAATTCGAGCCTGAAGCTTTGGTGGATTCCGGGGTGGCTCATCGTAAAGACAATTCCGAGGTGAAGATGGGATTGGAAGAGGCACATGGAGGTTGGTTCAATTAGGCGTTGTGGATTCGCTAGGTAATTGAGAGTATACCTGTGTAATTCCTTTAAATCTTCTTAGTGGATTGTTTTTGTGGCTGTTGCCCGTGGTTTTTTTTATCACAGTTGGAGGTGTCTAATTGTGGTTTTTTCCACGTAAAATCGTTGTGTTTTTTTTTGTCTTGATTGTTTGATTGTTTGATTGGGATTGTTATATTCTGCTTAAAATTGATACATAATCACAAATCAACATCTAGGGGATTTCTAGATTTTTCACTCCCAAATATATACCCGGTTTCTCAACCACTTTAATTCCCAAACACTCCTTTAAAAACCCCCTATGTTGAGAGGACATATTCGGACTAACAAACAGATTAGATTTTTGGAAACTAAGTCGAAGGCCTGATTGATAACAAAAAGCATCCAAAAATCATTTCAAACACCACACATCCTCCATTTTGAAGGGCATAAAAATCATACAATCATCCGCAAACAACAGATGAGATATCTTCGGCCCACGCCTACTAATTGAAATGCCCCGACAGACCCCTTGAGACTCCAAATGTTCAAAGCCGAATGAAAGAGCCTGAACTACTATAAAAAATAATAACGGAGATAATGGATCACCTGACGTAACCAACACTGAGGCTGAAACAAATCTGTCCGCTTAGAATTAATGAGAATGCCAAAAGAAACTGTGGAAATACACTTATTTTTTATGCAATCGTTTGGTAGAGCTTTCTAAATTTAATTCTATCCTTTGGTTTGAGTGTGGTATTTGGCGAGAGCTTTCAAAAATTGATTCCACACTCACTGTTGAAAATACGTCTACCTAGTCATCTTCCCGAACGTCCGGCTGGTTGACCGGAATAGTTTTTTTTTTTTGACACCTGTTATTTTTATATTTTAAATAAAAACTAATTTTAGAATATTTAAATTTTTTTTTATGTTCTTTGAATAGAATTTTGGATTGTGTGTTTGGTTATGAGTTGTAAGTTTTTGAATCAAATATCATATGTCACATCAAAAATTTCAAACTTAATTCAAAACTCTTTTCAAAACTCATAACCAAACACTCAAATCATAATTCCAAAACTTACAAACTCAAAATATAACTCTATTCTCAAATCATAATTATAAAACTCTACCAAACGCTGCCATATGTTTCTCATTTAATTTTTGTCACTAAAATTTTTGGAGTTATTTGAAGCTTTATGAGTGTTATGAAATGAAAAGTAGAATGGATATTTTTAACAAACATATACATATATCAAACCAGGGAAGCCTTTCTCCAAATATGTAGAACCTATACTATGTTTATGGAGGCTTTTTAGATCATTGTGGTGGGTTTGGAGTCGGGCTCCCCAAGGCCCAACGGTATCATATAGTTCGTTTCTTGATTGGAAAGCAGCTGTTTCCTTTTTCGAAATAGGACTTTTAAAGCAAACTATATAGAATTGCATTATGGGTTTTGATTAAAGAGTTTGGACCTCTCACTACTGGAAACTAGGCTTTTAAACGCCACTATAGCTACAAAAACGCCGCTAATTGTTTTTGTGACGTTTAGTACTAAACGCCGAAGATGCGACCGTTACTGTAACTTTATGACGCTTTAAAAGCATCGCTATATAATGTGCTGCATAATTGTACAATGACGTCACTACACATTTGGCAACATTTTAAAAACGCCGTGATAGGTCATTTTTATTTTCAAAATATAACCGTTGGTATTCTATAGTGACGTTTAAAAACGCCGTTATAACTTCATTTTTTTAAATAAAAAAAAATTGTGCTAATTCTGTGAGATTTAACCAAAAAAAAAAAATACCTTTTATAAAGAAGAAATTAGTTCAAGCAATAAACAGTATTTGTTGGAAAGATTCTAAAATAATACAACACAAGATGTTTATTACAAGAGAGCTCAAATTGAACAGCGAATCAAGAATCTGTTCAGTTAATTTGTTGAAGCTAAAATCCCTGAAAAATTATACAAACCATGGTCAATTAAATTCATTATATAATAACGTAAATACAGTAAAAGTATTTGCTTCATAGAGTTGGCTGTCTGGTTTTGACTCCATCTTCCCCCATCTGGCTCTAAACTGGCAAAATTTCAGGTTGAAGTATATGGGAGCTGACCTGAAATTTATAGCAATAACTTACAGTTGTAACAATCTTTGATAATCTCCAATATTGGATGAGATAGATCCAGAAATATTGTTATTCCTCAGAATTCTGCAAGACATGATACCACATGGTTATATTAGTTTTGTACAAGAGCAATTAAGGAGCATGAAAATGAAAAATTAAAACAGAATAGATTTGCCAGCAATAACCATATCGCCTTACAAGAGATTCAAAGACTTCATATCCTTAAGAAACGCCAATGAAGAACTTCCATTAGATAAATCACTTATCCTTCTAGATGAGCATGGGTATGTTATAAAAGAGAAGACTAGCTTTATTGATATGCTAATATGAACAAAAGCTGTTGAAAGAGTTAATGCTCACAAGTCCTCCATCAAGGTTAAGTTGGAAAATGTTGTTGGTATTGGACCTCCAAAGGAGTTTCCCTGAAATCTCCTACAAACAATAAAATAAAATAAAATAAATAAAAGAAAAAAGAAAAAGAAAAAGAAAAGTGAAGTGGATTGCTGAAGAGTGTTATACATCTCAGTTACTATACATTGCTATTTTAAAGTAGGGCTATAATTTGAGTGTGATTGTCAAAATAAAGAGAACACAACATCGAAGATTGCTTACAAGCTTTTAAGCTTTGACCAATTCCCAATGAATTCAGGTATGCTACCAGTGAGTTCATTGTCTGAAGCCCACCTGAGATCCCCAAAATTCTTCCTCAGTAAAATTGATAACAAAAACAATTAATCTGAACACAATTTTTAGTTTCTCAGATATGCAAAAAGGATAGTTCAGAAAGCTCTTATACTGTCTGCAGATTTCGTAGAGCAGCAAACATTGAAGGTATAGCACCACTAACTCCAAAGCTACCAAAGTAACTGTCAAGGTGGATAATGTTCAAGATACAAATGCAAAACTTTTTTGTCCTCAATACCAGATTTAAATTTAAATTTTGTTCGTTGATGGTAAATCACGAGGTGACAACTCATGAGATGGGTTGCAAACAATCAGCTAATCAGTAGAAAGGTACATGATACATATAACAGATCTTTATATCTACTGACTATGACATTTCTTATAAAAAAGGATCGTGCTTACTGCTTAGTATGCCCA